TTTAAGAGAATCGTTCCCCAACGAAGTAGTCTATTTGCCGTATAGACTGGCAGACCTTTTTTAGAACCCAAGATTGTTATTAGAGGTTAATGATCCGTATGCAGTATGAACCGTCTACCATGTAGGTATCTGTGAAACTTTGTCACAGCGAATATTATCCCTAGAGCCTCTTTCTCTATTTGGGAATATTGTTTCTCAGCTGGGAGTAGAGATCTTGATGCGTGAGCCACAGCTTTTCGCGAACCATCTGGCAGTTTATGTAGAATGCAAGCACCGATGCCGTACGAGCTTGCATCACTTTCGACTATGATGTCGAGACTAGAATCGTAGTGGGTGAGGGAGAGGTCCGAGTTTTCTTGATCTTCTCGAATGCGTCTTGGCATTCCGGGGTCCATGACCATGGTTTGTCCTTTTTTAAGAGTTGGTTGAGAGGCCCTCTCAAATTTTGCATGTTCTTAATGAGCCCTTGGTAAAAGTTAGCTAGGCCGAGGAAGCTTTCTAACGCTTGAGCGTTATCTGGGACCAGCATGTTTCTGATCACGTTGGCTCTTTCTGGATACGGCCGACGACCGTCTTTATTTATGATGTGACCTAAGTATTTAATCTCTAGTAAGAAAAAGTCACACTTTGCCTCCTTAACCTTAAATCCGTATTCTTGTATCTTTTCGAATACGTTTATTATATGGTTCAGGTGCTCTGCCGTAGTTTACCAAGTAACCAGTATATCATCCAAATAGGCTGTTGCGTAGTCAAGGTCGCCCAGCATGGCGTCCATGACCTGCTGGAAAATTGCAGGCGCAACCTTTACGCCAAAAGCCAGTCTGTTGCATTTGTACAACCCTCTATGGGTGTTTATGCAGAGCAATTTGGAACTTTCTTCTTCCACCTCTATCTGAAGGTATGCGTCTGAGAGGTCGATTTTAGAAAAAAATTTTCCACCATTGAGTTTATTGAAAATTTCTTCAGGGCTTGGGAGAGGATAGTGGTGATCTTGCAAGGCATCGTTTAACCCTGTGGAAAAATCTGCGCATACTCATATTTGGTTGGACTTCTTTTTTACGTAGACCGTAGGTGCTGCCCACTCGCTGAAATCTGTTTTTGACATAATACCTGCTTGTTCGAGTCTATCTAACTCTTTGTTGATTTGCTCTAGAGCAGCGAAAGGGACATTCCGTTTCTTTTTGAATACCGGTTGTGTACCGTCCTTCATCTTGAACTTAGCTTTCATTTTAGTACATTTCCCAAGGCCGCCAGAAAAAACCTGGGGAAATTGGGGTTTGAGTTCCTTTTTGAGATTTACCAAATCGGACGTTGTACTTTGTATCTTGCGGCAAAATGTACTCATTGGGCAATCCCAAAGATTTAATTTTTCTATCTAATCTGTTCCAAATAAGTTATCTGAAGTTTTCAATACGTAGGCTTTGAGCTTTTTCGTAACTCCATTTAGTGTTACTGTAAGTATTACCTCACCTAAAATGTTAATCTTTTCGCCAATTACGGATTTTGCTGTTTTATCCGTTTTTAATAAGGTCAGATTGTTTAATTTTCGCCAAGTACGCCAGTTAATGGTTGAAAGATCGGAACCCGAGTCAAGCTGGAATTTAATGGAATTATTGAAAATATGCACAGTTACATATTTCCTTAAATTCCTATCGACAATATTGTCAGATTGAGCTTACCTAATTTTATTTTTGGGTTTTCTCGTTCTGTTGGCGTACCAGCACCGAGTATGCCCACTTTTATTGCAATTTTTGCAATATTTTTTGTTCTTAACTGGACAGAATTTCATACAATGCCATTTACCACAATGGTAACATGGTCCGGGCGGTTTCTGTAACCTATTGGGGTTTTGGTTACTGCGGAATTTAGGACATGAGATTTGCCTTTTGTCTTTTTGAGGGGAATAGGAGGTAGACTTGCTTCTGATTTTATTAATCTGAGCCACACCTGATTCCTCGATAGTGTTTGAGTCACACTTTACAGATATTACTCTTTGACAGTCCTCTGCCAGTTTTTGGAGAGTCAATCCTTGTTCGTTCTTAAGCTTGGTCAGTACCCGTCGTCTGACTTCGGCGTCTTCTGCTGATACTAGACCTTGTGCGAAAATTAAGCACTTGAAATCATCGGCAGTCAGTTCGGCTAGTTTAAAATCATTACAGAGCTTGTTTACCGCTGCTGCAAACGTTAGAAAATCTTGCTTGTTGTCATTGTCTGTGTTCAGGCATTTCCAACGTTTGTGGAACAAGGTTGTGTTAGGCCCGAATAGTTCCGATAGGAGCTTAATAGTCTCTGAAAAATCCAAGTCTGTGGTTTTCTTGGGTAGTATGAAGTCTACGAAACTACTATGTTCTGTAGTTCCCAGTTTTCTCAATAGTAGACGTAACTTTTTTTTTTACTGGGCCATTGTTCACAGTCTACGTTGAAAATATCTTCGTAGTGCCTGTAAAAAGCCTCGAACGTTTTGTCGTTCTCTGGTACGTATTCAAATGTTTCAATTAAATTGTAGATTGTACTCTGGGAGAATATTGTATCTTTTTCAGAGTTGGAGCCTTTTAATGCATTTACGAGTAATTCTTTAAGTTGTTTCTGTTGTAGTTCAGCATTTTGAAGCGTAATTTGTTGGAATTCCATTTGTTGTTTATGTAATTCCAAAAATAGTTGTTGTCTTTCTTCTGATTTTTGTTGTTGATCCAAATGTACTTTTAGCAAATGGACGATTACTTTTTGAAAATCTTCCATATTTAGACAAACAAAAATGACAGCGATTTTTTGTTGCTTTGAAACCCGTGTACCAAGAGGAGGTACACAAAAAAAATCTTGATAGAGTTTTTTTTTTTTTTTACAAAAAAAAAAAAAATATGGACAGGCAATTAGTTAAACTAAACTAATGATGTGTTTAGCTTTTTTGAGATTCCGTGGTTCCGTTAATTTTAACGTAATTGTATAAATTTTCACCACACTTATTATGTATTTCTTTTTTATAGAGGTACAAAAAAGAGAAAACTCGCCTCAGTGAATTTGAGGGGAGAATAATTTTATGCACGAGATTCAACTCAGTTACATAAAAAAATTTTTAGATAGTTGTTTTCGAAAATTTGAGTCGTAAGTAGTACTTCAGCTCTTGTGTTGTCAGTTTGTTTTATGAACAAACTGTTTTTTTTTTTCTGTGTGTGGGTGTGTAAGAAATCGTTCTCGTTATGTTATTTGGACAGACTTTAATATTCCGTAGATGTCGAATCGCTAGTTCGTCACTGATGTTTGGTATCGGAATATATTTTTTTTTGTATGTAGACGCTGGGTGTTGCGTTTAGATCGCTGATGTAGTAATACCAGCTTAATTTCTCGTTCAACACTGCTGTGGGAACGCGTGGAGTTCTGTGTATTTTCGAGTACTCTGTCGCTATTGATATGGTGAGAACGAAATTCTCGAATCTTTCTGTCGCCACTGATGTGGGACTGGTAAGGTATTGAGGTTTTCGACGTGAATGCGTTTCTCGAATTCTTCGTCGACACAGATGTGGACCCAAAGTTGGGACCACGGAAGGAAAACACGGAACACGGATTAGAGGTAAGAAAGATATATTAAACAAAAAGGTTACAAAGATAGTGTAAGTGTAAGCGGAGCTTACTATGTGCTAGTGTCCAATATTGGTAGTCTTACGCGGCTGATACTACGGTATTAGAATACTCACTCTCTCTCTCTCTCTTTCCTCCTCTTCTCCTAGAGTGTTATATCGCATACTTTATATAGTCCTGGAAGAGTCCATGCTGTAGGTATGTTACAGTCTCACAACACTATCTCAGTTTGTTCATGATCTATCTATCTATCTATCTATCTATCTATCTATCTATCTATCTATCTATCTATCTATCTTATCATGATCGTCTCTCTGTGTATAAGCCTGTTCATTCTCTATCTCTCTTTCTCTATGTATATGTATGTCAACCTGTTTACCTCTGTCTATCTTTCTGTCAATTCTTTATCTATCTATCTATCTATCTATCTATCTATCTATCTATCTATCAGTTTGTTCATATCTATCTTTTTTTTAACCATTTCATTACAAGCAAGGCAACAGAGACACTGAACCGCAGGTGGTTACTGAGTGCAAAAGAATACAAGAAAAATATTATTAAGAAGCAAGAACAATAAAAGAACTGGATTTAAGAAGGCAGAGGTTAACAGTTGATATTGTATTTAAATTAGATCAAACTTGGCTGGAAAGCAAGAAGGGGGATGAGTTTTCCACAAGCCAAAACTGGGAGAAAACAAACTTAGCATAGAACTTACGGCTACACCTAGCCATTTCGAATGTAGAATTACTAGACCTTGCCGCCAATCTAGAGTGGGTTTAAATTCATAAACTCTAGGTATCATAGAGGAGAATACATCAGACAAATTACCATGAAAATATTTATAGAAAAAACACAGGCAACCTACATTACGGCCGTGCGAAATTGACTGACGTTGAGATGTCAGGTCAGGATCAATAATATTGCAGATTCTTCTTTGGAGTTTATTAAGGATCTGTAAATATATACCAGAATCAGCAGACTGTATGTAGCAGCAATATTCTAAGCATTGGCTAATGGTTAACTTGTAAATATGTAAGATATAGATTCTGTCGAGAAAAAATGTTGGGCACGACACAGTGAACCAACCTTCCTGACAGCAGATATAGCAATCAATTCGATATATTTCCACTTCATGTCAGTGGACAACGTTAGACCATGAAGGAGCAACGAGTCCTTTTCCTGGAGGTTAACACCAGCCATGCTGATGAAAGACAGGTTCTCTCAGATGAGATAGGGCGCAGTTACGTTTCGGAGGCGTTAAAATTAACAAGATATTCCTTGCCCCGGTTAACAACGGATTGTAGGTCGTTTTTTTAGATCGGCTGCCAATTTGACCATATCGAACCGAGATCAGACTTACAGGAGTAAATGATTGCGTCATAAAAATATATAGCGAGTTGAGAACTAATGCCACAGGAAACCATTTATAAAAATTAAGAACAACGCAGGCCAAAGGATAGAGAGGGCGCCTGCATTAATACTAAGTGATCTAGAAGAGTTGCCGTTCAAGATAATATTCATTTCATGATTCGATGAGAAAGACTGAATCAGTTAAAATTTTCTAGAAATACCATAAGCATCCTGTGAAGGATACCAATATTCGAAATCCTGTCAAATGCCTTCGAATTTCAACATTCTTATCTAAGTTTGACAGATTCTTTCAGCAATGACCGTTAATACATTAGCATTTGTCCCGGAGAAACGAAATCCATATTGCTTATCTTAAAGAAGACACCATGAGGTGAGATGGTTAACCAATTAAGAGTCGATTAGTGATTCTAGGACTTTGCCAAAAGGCGGTAGACGCCTAATATCTATCTATCTATCTATCTATCTATCTATCTATCTATGACTTCTTATACCAGTGTCTATGCATGTATCCCACTATTATCCACTTATTTATTTATTTCCAATATCCATTGAGTAATATCGTACGATTCTGTCAAGAATCTATCTATCTATCTATCTATCTATCTATCTATCTATCTAGTGTATGAAAATGTATTTAAATCAGTAAACATTTCCATTGAGCGAAGACCTGAAGATTTTAAATTTAAATTCAAATAAATAACGGTAAAAGGATGAATGATAAGTCAGGTGATAATAATAATATACACAAAATTTTCTCCTTTTTTTGTCCGTTTCTTTCTTTCTTTCTTTCTTTCTTTCTTTCTTTCTTTCTTTCTTTCTTTCTTTCTTCATTAGCCTTCTATCCATACATTTAAATGCTCTACAAGCACACATTTATTCATAGTTGCTTTAAGAAAACTGTATAACAAGATAAAATTATCTTTTATTTGCATATATTCGCATTTTTGTGAAAAGAAAAATATTAATTCTGTTTGAATATTTCAATAAATATATGCATATATACATATGTACTCATACACACGTGTGTGTGTGTGTGTGTGTGTGTGGTTACATGTACATATTATGGACATTGTTTAGGTAGAAGTCTTATATTTATACATGTTTCATTAAATAGAATAGACAAAGGAAAGTCTGGGAAGCCTTTTGGTGATTTCCTTATGGTTTCGATAAAGCCATTTGATGTCGGATGAAAATTGAAAAAAAAAAACTTGCCGAAATTGTGTGTAATACTCTGAATATCGTTGGTCATATTCAAGAATAGAAAAGTAGCTAGTGGATTGTTTATATTGTTAACGGCGCGGAGTGTGAAATGAACATAGGTTCACCTGCGGAATAGATCTTAACCTCACTTGACTAAAACGACTTTACCGTTCAAAGACATTATATTTTCGCTTTGAGATTAAAACATATTAAGTTGATGGTGAGTTACCGCCTTTACACACACACACACGCACACACACACACACACACACACACACACACACACACACATATATATATATATATATATATATAGAGAGAGAGAGAGAGAGAATATAAAAGTGGACAGTGAAGTCAACATAGGCACCAGGCTGTTTCATGCTAAATGCACTCGTCAATCGGGTGGCCTCACTACTGCGTGTAGCATGAAACAGTCTGTAACCTCTGAGTGTTGACTTCAATGTCCACTTTTAGATTCTATATTTAGATATGCTGTTAATCTGATATTTTGCACTTTATCCTATAAATATAGCAAACGTTAAAACTATATATATATATATATATATATATATGTGTGTGTGTGTGTGTGTGTGTGTGTGTGTGTAAAAATATATAGAAAATAGGAAAGAACTCGTTAGGTAAATAATCCAAAGTTCTTTAGTATTTTTGTTATTATTTTTTAAAAATAATGCTCGATACAAAAGTAGAGCATAAATACATATATATATATATCGGCTGTAATAGCAAAATTTTCTATTTCTTTGATTAACCTAACTTACTGGAATTTTCCGAGGTTTTTATAACACTATTCGACTCTGGCCAATATATATATATATTCGACTCTGGCCAATAATTACACTCCAAGCTTAACAGAAGAATCGTGATGAAATCGATCATAAGCGAAAATGACATATCCAACATTAATTAATCATAGCTAAGCATCGGAAGTTCATGAAGGACTGAAATAAAGTTCATATATATATATATATATATATATATATATAAGGTCATTCACAGATTGACTGTTTCGCAGCTCATCGGTTTCCTCTAGCTAGGATCGAAACCCGACTGAATTGGTGTCAGTCGGAGATTCTACCACTAAGCTGTCGGCGCACGGCATGAAGGTGAATTTTAGTGTATTTATTTTTAGATAATATATATATATATATATATATATATATATATATATATATATATATATATATATATATATATATATATATATATATATATATATATATATATATATATATATATATATATATATATATATATATATATATATATATATTCCAACTTATTCAAGATGATTTTAGCCCTGATTTTTAGCAGTAAGAAGGTATCTTACGCGTTCCATGTACGATTTCATTTCCGAGTCTTTTTTCGCTGCTCCTTGGACTGTTATAGCTGAAACTCCTCTCTCACGTACCAAACCTTTTATGGATCGAGTTGGATCTTTTCTAATTGTTCTCTTTAGCTCAAAATTGAAATGATGATCCGTCTTTCTGCTGTGACCTCCTGATCCAGTTTTCCTCTCTATTGTGCCCTCTTTTTTAAACTTATCACCATTCTCTTGAATAGACTTTGAAGGTGGAAGCTAGTGTATAAATGTCTGTACCATTTTTCCTCTCACCATTGCTCAGTTGAGACAGTGGCTATAATACAAAACGATTTTAACCTGCTGAATAACTCACAAGGTTTTTCAGTGATTCTTACGACAAATGTTTAAACGTCTTATATGAAAACCAGGAAAAAACGAAACTCTATTAGTCTAGTGTTTTTTTTAGATATTAAGCATTTTGTGGAATGGACAATTATGCTGCAACACCCGGTATATATATGCTATTAGTTTGTTCAAATACTTTCAACCGCCATTTTAAAGAACCTATGGTTTGTCTGCATTCAGTTATTCTTTGCAAGGGTGAAAATTTGAAATAGTCTACGATGGCATTATATATATCTTCCCAATATATCCTTTCCAGAAAGAGTTACTACAATCTCAAGTCAAGATACATGATCACAAAAATAGTCAAAAAATGAAAATTATAAGAAGAATGGTTAAATCCATGACCTCATGTTATTCAAAACATACCACATAAATCAATCCCAATCCGAATTAATTTAAATACTAATTTTTATATATATATATATATATATATATATATATATATGACTAGGTCTGCGCTAATCATTGTATTGAGCACTTTTTTTTTAGTTATTTTAGGTACTCGTATCGGGTTTTTTTTCTTTGGGTCTTGAACTCGTATGCTGGACGATTATTTTCATTTAACGTACATGTTCTTGGTTCTTTCTTTTTTTATACCTTTTTTTCCCCTTTGGTATTGGCTTGTTTATTTGCAAATCAACACACCGAAGGTTTTCCGGACGAGTATAGTTCCTTATACTTATAAGATTTCTATTAATATATATATATATATATATATATATATATATTACTGACTTTCGTTTTTTAGGTGTTGAATTGTATCACCTCACGTCCCTGAACTCACCTGACCTTTCCAAAAGTCTTATGAGAACTCGTATACAAAAAAAAAAAAAAAAAAAATTGAAAAGCTAATAACATTTTTTGTGATGTCAACGGAGACTCGTTGCCACTGTTTGATTTCAACGAATACTCGTTATCACTTTCGTAATGCTCGTTGTAGTAGAGACTTTGTAATCGCAGATACTATAGTAACGCCGTTGAACAAATCTTGTGTCAGGCGCCTTCGAATAACATTCGCCCTAATAGTACTTGTTCGCTAATACTCGCTCCACCAGCGATCCGTATAGTGATCCGAACAGAGAAATAGTATAATGAATAGTGTATAGAATAGCGGTTCGTATAGTATAGAGGATAGACTAGAAATAGCGATCAATTGGACGCCACGTCACTTCCTACTTATGCGTTTCCTCTATGGTCACGTAATCCACTTAATTCAATAATGGCATCGACTGTATTTGCTCACTGGCGATCTAGGTTCAAAATCAAGTGTCGGCAGCGACACTTTATTCCTATATAACAATTTTTTCTCTTGTATGTAAATACGTGTCACAAAATGAAATCATTACATTTGCCTTGATCCCTCAGAGAACGAAACGCATCAAGCAAGATAAATTTTCCTTTTGTCTTTGTTCATATTGACCTTTTACAGATATATCTTAAATTTTAACCCACTCCTTATATATATATATATATATATATATATATATATATATATATATTCTTTTATAGATACAAATATTTAAGTAAATGCTCTGTTTATAATAAACAGTATTAAACAACATTTACCAGCCTGAATGTCCAAGAAATTTTCATAGAAAAACCTGTATCCTATACGGAACCGTCATATAGCCTGACGTGCCTTTAACCGATTGGGCCACACAGTAATAATATATATATATATATATATATATATATATATATATATATATATATATATATATAATTGGATAATTCCAAAGAGGATGTAATCCAGAGAACACAATCAATGTAACAACAGAGCAAATATGAATTAATTAGAAAAAGAGACAATCTTAAGTTTCCATGGCTATAATTTATTTCCCCAGAAAATATAAATTTTTCCTGGTTCATCAGGTCACATCTCTATTTAGAAAGGAATTTGGTTTATTTTATTTTTAATACAAATTTTTGAGGGATAGTTTTAGAGTGATATAAGATGACAGAGGTGGTGGGATGGGGAGACCATAGAATGATCTAAATTAGAAATGGTAGGTAGGGATAGGGTTGTGTTTAAATCCATCTTTAATAAGTTACGTAGGTTCAAATGTACTCCGCCAGCAGGCCAGTCAATTTGACCTCTTAAATAAGATTTTAGAAAAGGAAAGAAGACATATTGTAAATCAGGGGAGGGAGGAAAATGAGAAAGAAGAAAGGAACAGGGAAAAGGGGGAGGCAGAAAGAACAAAGAAAGAGTGAATAATCATATGTAGGCTTATCGCAGTGACACTCGAAAAAAATCACACATCAATACAATTTAAAGTTAACACATAACAAAATATTAAAGATTACCAATATAGATTAAAATAAAATAAATAAATAATATTAACAAAGGACAATATATTAAAGATTATTAACAATATAAGATTATTTTTTTAAATATATATATATTTAAAATATATTAAATATATATTAAATATATATACATTTAAAATATATATAATTATATTTAAAAATTTTTAAATATATATATATATATATATCGATGCCACTGAGTGTTCATTCACGAAGAGGAAAAACAACCACAATCTTTCACCAACAGAAAATACTTAAACAGCAATGCAAGTTCAAGTCTCACTAGAAACTATTACTTTATTTTGATTTTGTATTCATTTAATGACTGGAGGGTGTAAACTGATATGATTGTACATTTCTTGATAAGCTTGTATGTGTGTATATATATATACATATATATATATATCTAACATACACATTTTCAATAACAAAAAAACACCATACAATGAAGCACTAAAAGGAAGTGGATACACACAACATCTACAATATACATGTCCACAGCCGAAACGTAAAAACAGAAAAAACAATATTATCTGGTTTAATCCACTGTACAACAAAACCGTCAAAATGAACATAGGCAAGACATTCCTAAAATTAATAGAAAAGCACTTCACTGAAACAAACCGATTAGCAAAAATATTCAACAAAAATAAAATTAAAATCAGTTACAGCTGCACAAAAAATATAACAGAAATAATCAAAAGTCACAACAAAAAATGACAACATACAAAAATGAAACCAAGGATCCAAAATGCAACTGCAGAATTAGAACATGTCCACTCCAGGGAAATTGCCAACATACGAATACAATATACAAAGCCAAGGTAAGTGCAAACAACAGCACAATGTACTACATCGGTGCCACTGAAGATCCATTCAAGAAGAGGAAAACAACCACAACCTTTCATTCACCAACAGAAAATACTTGAACAGCACTAAACTATTGACATATTTATGGCAGCTAAAAGTGAGAAATATCACACAAAGAATAAGTTGGAAAATATTGAAAAAGCACCTGCCTACAGCAACATTACAAAATATGCCTACTTTGCCTACACGTAAAAGTAGCAATAATATCCCATACCCCAGAAAAGAATTTACTAAACAAAAGATCAGAGATAATCTCCAAATGTAGGCATGAGAATAAATACCTATTTTCAGAATTTATACCAAACGGATATAAAACAAATACTCTTTAGTTCATGCTACTATCACAATAATTACATTTATTGTTATTATCATTCTTCCACCACCATTAGTAATCACTTCTACCAATTTACAATAACTATTAGCTACTAATATTATCATTACCACCAATCCCCAACACTGTTACTACATCACATCTACTATTATCATATAAACCTGCTATATTAATATAAACTACTCCCCCCCACAGCATATTTAATACCACCATATAAAAACCAATAAGGATTACAAACTGCAATTTCTACCAGTTACAGATACGCAGTCATCAAAAACAAGCAAATAACCAGCTTTAAAATAATAACAAATCAGCCTTAAAAAATTAAAAATAATAGCAATTTTTACCTATCATAATTTTACGCAGACCCCACCACACGTATATATGTGCGTGCGAGAAAATATTAGTCAGCGAAAGAATAGAAAAATGGTCTGATTGTTGACATGTATACATTCACAAGAAATTTTTGCTACACTTTCGATCTTTGAATTTCAACATACAAATGCATATGTATATAGACAACAGCAAACATATACATACATATGTCAAATCCCATACTGTCCACATATGTTTATATATGTATGAGCCCCAGCGGGCGGGCGGGCGAGTGTGTATGTGTGTCTGCGTACTTCAACGGGGACATGGATCTAAGTTTGCGTTAGCATGAGTGACATCACGACGACGATTTCTCCCCACCCCACTTCAATAATAACACCAATACATGCAATCTACGTAAATCCAAAATTTGAAAAAAATTAATCAGTTTGTCTGACGATCGCAAAAGCGTGAAACCCAGGGTCACAAACTCACATCAATCCAACCAAATATGTTAGCTCTATCTCTGATATTGAGCACTTTCTAATAAGTACCGCGCTTATAATATATAAATAATAATAATATATGTAATATATTACATATATATATATATATATTTATTTTTATATAAACACACTTTTCACTCACACACACACACACACACACACACACACACATACATATATATATATATATATATATATATATATATATATATATATATATGCGGATATTAAACATCACATACACTTCAAGATTTCAAGATGCGATCTGTGGTGAATAATATTTTAATGAATATGGAAGTTTTATTTTGTATAATAAAAGCTTCTAGTGTTTTTAGAGTTTCCTTGAATTCGGTGCTAGATGGTATTTTTGTATTATCCACAAATACTTTTCGTATGATGATTGTTGTATTTTGGGCATCCATAATGTGCTAGTCGATATGGGCACAGTTTTCACCGAGTTTTGACAGGTGACACGTCATCCTGCGAAGAGTGTGGTGTATGTGTGCCCGGTGTAAGAATTTAATGCTGTTTTTTTTAATTTTTTATTATTAATGTTGGAGTTGCAATCTCCCAGAGAGCATAAGAATTCATAAAAGAACATGATTTTTTACTCGTGTTGTTAGTAATGATTGGAATAGATGTTATAAACTTTTTATAGTGAATGATAACACTTAGTTTTTTCTAAGGAGAATTAAGTGATATGTATCGATGGATTCTATTTTTAATTGCATTTTCACCTTCTTTATAATCAGCATTTTGCGGCACGACTGTTAATCCTAATTATAGATATATAAAACGGAAGAGTAATGAATAACGGCTCGGATTGAGGAATCGGAGAGCCGAGTTCGAATTCCAGTCGAATCCTTTACATTCATTATTTACATTATTTGGACTATTGTCCTCATATTTGTTGCCATACTTATCATAAATATGGCGACAAAGATGAGGACAATAGTGAGAATAATGTAAATAATTTTCATAATACCTCATCTCAGAAATATAGACAGACCCTTTACATTCACTTATGTGCTAATATCCTTGGGAAAGGTATGAAACCTCTTCTCTCCCCCCCCCGCTCATCTATAGGTAAATAGCAGAACAGACCGGTTTCTGTAGTCTTGGCTGGCAACTGGTCTACCGCAGAAAGAAATGGCAACCTACTGCGGGAAAAAAATCTGCCTCGCCAGTCATGCATCGAAACATACATGATCGCCTAAGCGTGTATACCGCATGATATAACTGACTGAATTGAGCTATTTTTTAGATGGTGATCTTTAATGGATTAAATTTAACCAGTACAGTACCAGATAGATGGATAGATGGATAATGAACAGTCTGAGATAGATAGATTGATAGATAGATAGATAGATAGATAGATAGATATGAACAGGCGGAGATAGATGGATAGATGCAAAAAAAAGATATAGACAGTAACAGAATGAGATTGATATTTACACTATTTATATTCAGACAATTGTCCTCATCATTGTTATTGGTAATACAACGTTTCAGCAGTTATGCACTCTGGCCTTCGTAAGACGTATGAAAAAAAAAAAAAAGCAACCAGGTTTTTTTTTCTCCACCCCCATATTATTTATTCAATATACTCAGAATACTCACGCTTCAACAGCATTTTAAATTCTATCTTTTGAAGAGGCAGCGTTTTTGCAAGAACTACACGGGCAATTAATGTTATTTTACCCGCGGGAGACCTATAATTTTCTCCAGCCTCTAGGCCGGACAAAGTAAAATGCTCTCCAGGCGATATCGTAATTATTTTATGACAAATTTTATATAAATTTTAGTGAACCATCATTTCGTATGTAACTCAAAATTCATGGAAAAATATTCACTTGTGTGATAACAATTCCCCGGTCTACAAAACCGTGTTCTCTGTTGACCTTTGAGGTTATGGCCCCAAAATCGAATCGATTCGAATCTATTAAACACCAAACTATTTAAACGACATCCCTGCTTTCTTGTAGTTGAAATCATTTACTGGTTTTATGAAATCAAAATTTTCGGAGTTACTTTAAAATTTAGCTCTATTTTAATATGAAACCTTCTACATTGATAAAATTTTAAAAAGGAAAAAAAAAATGGTAAACCTAATCAAAATCATTTTGCCGTTGAAACGGCACGATAACAGATTTCTTGATATTTCTGCGGAAATGTAATCACGCTAGGGATTTTTTTTTTCTCTTAAGTTTCATTTAAAATTCATTTCTATGGAATTTCAAATAATTTTCCTGCTATGTAAATTGGTAAAAAATAAAATAAATAAATAAATAAAAATAAAATACATAAATAATTAAAAATAAATAAATAATTAAAAATAAATAAAAATAAAATAAATAAAAATAAAACAAATAAATAAAAATATAAATAAAATAAAAAGCCGTTCTGCTTAAGGCAAAATCTAGATGCTGAATTTTCATATTTAAAATTTGACAACGATTCACATATTTTGTGGGGAAGAAAAAAATCGTTTTTTACAGTAAACACAACCCTTATCATTCAATTAAAAGTATTTATTCAAATTAAAAAAAAGAATATATTTTATTTGTGTAATATCCAATAAATAGCATTTTAAGTTATAATAAAAAAATATTGGATTTATAGAAAATAAACCCTATTTCCAACATAACTGCATACCAACATGCATACTATATTAAAACACACTCAAACTTTATTTTCTACCCAATAACAAACAATAACACCCCGAAAAGATTCTATAATAAAACGCACATCGTTTAAATCAAAGTGCCTATTGGTTAGAAATTGACATCGCCATGGTAAATATTTGACCAGTCAGAGAAAACTAAAATCCTATTTCTCACGAGTCTATTTTCGGGACGACTTTCAGGAACGGAAGTATGCAACTGCATCATACAGTTCAAGACGTAGCTGCATAGATTCTTAAGTGAACGTGGTGAAAGAAACATATGTCGGCCAGTCGGTGACTTCGAACGAACCATCTCCAACAACAACAAAGACAGTCAGTGAATCTTTGCTAACGATAAAAGTATTTTTCAACCGCAGCTTTTGACTGTGAAGCCACTACTTGAAAATGTTGACTGAACTACCGTTTTGGGGAGAAATGCAAACAGATTTCGGTGTTGTATCTTCCTTCCTCTGTTAAAACACTTCCTAGATATATATTTTTTAATCATTTCACTCAAAGTAAGGCAATGAAACTACTAAGACGCGAGTGTTAGAGAATATGAGAAAAATATTATTAAGGGGTGAGAACAATGAAAGAACAGGAATTAAGAAGACAGTACATAACGATTGACATTGCATTTAGTTTTCTTTCGAAGTTGACTGGAAAGCAAGAAGCCAGAAGAGAGTTCCACAAGCGAGATGTATGATGGAAGAAACTGTTAGCATAGAACTTACGGTTAGATATAACCATTTCAAATGTAAAATGGCGAGACCTTGCCGCCAATCTACTATTTAAGTATTGTCTTATCATGGAGAAGTGATGTGTTATAAAACTTTATTAATTGAATTGAATCGTAATATCTTCGCTGATTCTATAATTTCTCCTAGAAGATTTATAAGGTAAAGTCATATACTTCAGTTCAGTTAAAGAGGCAGACGAATGACCTAATTTTTAAAGCCACTGTCTTACGGGAGACACGCCATCGTGTTGGTTGGGGTAATCTAATACAACCCCTGGTATACAGGAATTCATATAATAATACTAATGGTTGGCCGCATGTATCGGAGTGCCTATTTACTAGGGTGGCTATAAAAATCCCTATTGCAGACGCCTGCTCAGATACATTTGTGTTAGTTCAACGCCCACAGAGTCCACCTGTGGTTTATACTGGAACTATGCTAGGCGATAGATAGATAGATAGATAGATATGAACAGGCTGTGATAGATACATAGATAGACAGATAGATAGATAGATAATGAACAGGCTGTGATAGATAGATAGATAGATAGATAGATAGATAGATAGATAGATAGATAGATAATGAACAGACTGACATAGATAGATAGATAGATAGATAGATAGATAGATAGATAGATAGATAATGAACAGACTGACATAGATAGATAGATAGATAGATAGATAGATAGATAGATAGATAGATAGATAGATAGATAATTAGATGCAAAAAGAGTATAGACAGGAACAGAATGAGCTTGATAAAGCGGCTCGCAACCAGTGTAAAGATACTTCATCGATCGTTTGACAGATTGTAGTGAATTGGACATTGTTAGTCGATAATTGTTTATATATTTTAGGTGAATGCACACACCGATAAACACACAGACATGAAGAGACACAAACAGATAAGCCGTATCATCTGTCTAAAACTTACTGAAAAATCCTGACTATTAACTATCCATTTCTTCCCGATTTCCAATTGACAATTAATATAAACACGCTCAAATTTCACATATTCGTTTTCATCTTGATTTTGGGGAGATGAACAAATATCTTTATTGTACACTTATTTATTGGGATTATCGTCACAATGTTTCAGCTCTTTTACTATTCCGTTTTCTTCAAGAGTTTGTGTTAATTGGTAACCTTTAGAGAATGTCTAATCGGCTCCTATATTTAATCCATCGTTGTAAATCGTTGTGATTCAAATCTCCATGCAAATTTTGTAGGAATTTCTGGGATGAGGTGTTATCCTTATTTACACTATTTATACGCAAGGAGTTTTCCTCATGTTTGTTGTTGTTAACACGCCATTTCGGCCGTTGTGTCATCTGGCCTTCATCAGATGTATATAGAACTGAGTAAGCTTACATGGATAATAGCGATTTATTATGCGCATGCAATGCAGGTATCTGTCGTTAAAATAGACTTGAAACATACGTAAATGCACACACTCACACGCACAAAGATAGATTTCAAGAGACATACAGACAGATAGATAGATAGATAGATAGATAGATAGATAAACAGACTGAGATAAATAGATAGATAGACAGACAGACCGAGATAGATAAACAGAATGAGATAGATCGATTGACAAACAGAGATAGATAAATAGATACATACATACGCACAAACATTATATATATATATATATATATATATATATATATATATATATATATATATTTAAAAATATGATTATATTTTTAAATAAATAATTATATTTAGGCTCTACTTTTGTATCGAGCACTGTTTTTTAAAATAATAACAAAAAATACTAAAGAACTTTGGATTATTTACCTAACGAGTTCTTTCCTATTTGCTATATATTTTTCACACACACACACACACACACACACACACACACACACACACACACACACATTATATATATATATATATATATATATATATATTCTTTTCGAGGATGTCAAGTGACGTAATCTAATGTCTGATACCTAAACCTTTCAGAACTCAAAACTTTTACATGAAGACGCTCAGAAATATTTATTATAATTATGAACGTCTTTAAATGTTAAAATTTAGAGGGACTGAAAATAGATTTTTGTTGCAAATTAAAATCTTTACATTTGTCTTTTCAAAGTCCGACAAATGACGAAATGCGTCCTCTCAGACTAAGTATAATTTTCCTCTTGTCTTTTTTTATTCATAGATAGATAGATAGTTAAACAGACTGAGATAGATAGATAGATAGATAGATAGATAGAGAGAGAGAGAGAGAGAGAGAGAGAGAGAGAGAGAGAGAGAGAGAGAGACGGACGGACGGATAAACAGTTTTTATCAGGAGTCTGTGTTAACTGGTAACCTTCCTAAAGTTTTTAACCTTAAACTTGTATTTAATCCCTGGTGGTAAATTGTTCTGATACAAATCTCCATGCAATTTCTGCTTGAATTTCTGGTATGAGGAGTTATTATTTACATTATTTATTGCCGTCATCTTTGTTGTTAACATAGCGTTTCGGCCGTTGTGCCCTCTGACCTTCATAAGTCGTATGTCGATCCGGCTAACCGACAGGGATAATAGCGATTTATTAAACGTAGCTTATATGTGACAAAAGGTCGGTAGTATGGAGCACCCAGTTAGGATCGTACTCACTACTCAGTCGTGATGAATCAAGTGAGACAAGCTTGAAGTTTATACCACGTGGAAGTGCACATAACATAGTACCTAGTGAATTATGTCGTTAGTGCGTGAAATTGGTGAAATAATAATCGTGAGTTCAATCCCTGGTCTATCTATCGCAGTCTGTTCACTCTCTATTGCTTCATTTTATCGTATTTTTGCAGGGATCTCGGTACAGCCGCAGAAATGTGATACAATGAATTTTAAAAATAAAAATTTTTCTTGAAGCTTTTATTTTGGTTTCAGTTTCAGGCTAATAGATTAAATTAAATATTTCCAACAAAAAAATACTTTGCTGTATATCAAAACTAATTTAAATTGACTGGAAGGAGTTTTACTTTAATTGTAAAATAAAGCAGGTGTTTATTTAAGGTCGACAGCTTGTCTGATAGACTGAAGGTTATATTATTTTTTTCTACGGTGCACATATCTGTAATTAATTGAGGAATATAACTTGAGCGCCTTTTTCATATAATTATTAACTACCCAATAATCTTAAAAATTTAGGAACATATCCTCCGTAAGATAATATTTTATTGAATCATAAGTATTCTGGCTTTAAACTTACTATTGTTATCGCTCTTAATTTTTGATAATGTCGTGTATGGACGTCCGTATTTACAAAAGTCAGCGCGTTTATACTCGCAAAAAAAATTCAATTTTTGTAAAAAATATTGGTGGTCGAAGAATTGTAGTAATCTTTTCTATTTACGATTAGTAAATATAGTTTTTACTCAATAACAATTTAAAATACTTTTATAAATTATTCCAATAATTTTTTTTAAAAATTGAAAAATTCTTGTAAAAATGACTTACTCATAGAGATAATTTTTTCTTAAGAAAATAGTAATATATTTTATTCATAAAAGCAATTAAAAGCTTTTCTAATTAAATAATGCCTTAGTTTTATTGCATTTTTTATTTTACGAATTTAGAGCAGAATTTAGGTAACCGGGGTCTTTTTACAATAAAAAAAAAAAAAAAAAAAAAGACAATGATGATTTAAATTCTCCAAGGAGCCCTGTGCTTAACTAATATAAATATTAAGAAGTACAAAAAATTAATTTCTCAAACTTTCATAAATTAAATAGGTGTGTGTGTGTGTGTGTGTGTGTGTGTGTGTGTGTGTGTGTGCGCGCGCGCGTAGGTGTGTGGTGGAGCGTTGACAGATTTCAAAAAAGTTTCTTTTTGAATTAAAAAGAAACATTTCTAAAATAATTTTATTCATTTGTTTGTGAATGTCCTGAAACTTTCATTAAAATCCGACAATTATTTGATTTTTGCAAGAATTTTTGCAAATCAATGTATTTTTGACCGCAAGAAGACGCTGACATTTCCTATACAATATATATATATATATATATATATATATATATATATATATATATATATATATATATATATCTGTCAATCTGGCTCTTGAAGTTTGTTTATATTTAAACATCTGTCTACATATATGCGTGTGGGTGTGTACACTTATGCACGATTCAAATCTATTTTAACGGCTCATCCCTACATTTAAAACAACATTTCCAAGACAACACATTTCAAAGATCTTGATCTCTTCCAATGGAAACTTAATTTCCTCTTTTTGACTAAGTACATCACCGCACTGGACACAATAAAGGATCAATTTAAACTTCCCAAGGTGCACGTAGACCCTCGGATTAATTGAGATGTCCGTGGAGGCAATATAGAACAAGTTACAATACATTCGGTGGTGAATGACCGAAAAAAAATGATGCCGTATCGAAAAAGAAATTAATCAGGGTCATTGACAATGCGGCCACGAAAGAAATTACTACCAGTTCACTATTCTTGGCGTCGTTAGGCGGGTGATTATTATTAGTTTCATCAGAAATTTAATCCCCTTCTTTCCTTAGTCTTTTATTACTCAAGTCATTTTCGATATCAATTTGTTTTTTTTCCTTTTTTATTATTGCGTTTGTAATTGGTTCCAAGAAAAAATGCTTGTGGCAAACCCAGTTTAGCCTAAAATAACTCCGATCAGATTAGTATTAATATAATCCAACATAAAGCAGTAAACCAGACTTTATTCCCAATTAACACCATTTAAATTGCAGTCAGTCAGTTATGTGCCATGCGTGACACACACATAGGCGATCATGTATCTTTCGATACATAACTGACAAGACAGATTTTTTCCCGCAGTAACTTGCCATTTCTTTCTGCGATTGACCAGTTGCCATCCAAGTCTATAGAACCCGGTCTGTTCTGCTATTTATCCATAGCTGTGGGGAGAAGAAGAGGATTCATACCTTTCCCAAGGATATTAGCACGTAAGTGAATGTAATCGATTCGACTGGAAAGTCATTCAGTCAGTTATGTGCCATGCGTGATATACACATAGGCGATCATGTATCTTTCGATACATAACTGACAAGACAGATTTTTTCCCGCAGTAGTTTGCCATTTCTTCCTACGGTAGACCAGTTGCCATCCAAGTCTATAGAACCCGGTCTGTCCTGCTATTTACCCATAGCTGGGTGAGAAGAAGAGGATTTATACCTTTCCCAAGGGTATTAGCACGTAACTGAATGTAATCGATTCGACAGGAAAGTCAGTCAGTAAGTTATGTGCCATGCGTGATACACACTTAATTATGACTGATAAGGCAGTAGTTTGTCATTTCTTTCTGCGGTAGACTAGTTGCTATCCAAGGCTATAGAACCCGTTCTGTATTTACCCATAGCTAGAGTGGGGAGAAGAAGAAGAAGAGTATTCATGCCTTTCCCTAGGGTATTAGCACGTAAGTCAATGTAATGGATTCGACTGAAATTCGAACTCGGCTCTTCAATTCTTATTCATTACACCACTGTGCCGCCTAACAAGCTAGCTAACACGAGTTCAAATTCAGGGCTAGTTTGTTGTGTTCGATTCCGCACAAATACTTTCGGGGATGTCATGAATTAGTCTTTTCGCCTCCGGGATATGGATTAAATAATAGGTTCTTTAGACTTGGGTGACAACCGATCTAAAAGAAGGAGAACTGAATTATCTATAATGGAGAACTTAACAGAAAACGACTACATTATCTTTTTCAAGAATGCAAAGAAAACAAAAACAACTTCCGGACAGCCATGATCGCATACGCCCTGCAGAGACATGGCATTTTAATGTACATTGTTAAAGCTAAACAAAATTTTAAATATGTATTATTTATTTCTAGTCTCTCAGCCAAATTTTCCCTCGAGCGTGTTGGCTTCTGTCTCGGTCCGCGAGTACAATATAAATAACAATTGAATGAAACAATAAGACACGATGAACTCAAACAGTTCATTCACAATTTCGAGCAAATTCGAGCACGCCTAATTCGAAAATTGGAAAAGCCCGACAAAAAATTTAGAGACAGATCTTTTCGGTTCTTTTTAGTCAAACTTGTAATGGATCTAGCGAGACAAGATTGCTAGCCATTACCCCAATATATATATATATATATATATATATATATATATAATCCGTATGGGTAGACCAAAGGAGGCTAAAATCCAGAGAGCTCAATGTAAAACCAGAGCAAAATAATTTAAATAAAAACAGACCACTTTAAGGTTCCATGTAATAAATTATTTCACCACAGCCCTTTTAAAGGACTGCGGATCATCAGACCTTACTTGCCAAGGTTGGAACGAAATATATATATATATATATATATATATATATATATATAATGTAAGCCTATTTCAACTATTTCAACTCGGTGGGTGAAAAAACCTGGATAGTATAATTTTCAAATAAATTGGCATTCGAGAAAAAATGGGAAAAGCACCAGAAACCTCCGAACAGGGCGAAAGAAATCGTCCAATACCTTAAATCTCTGGTACAAAGAAAAACTCCCTCAGCGAATAATAAGTTAAAACGAAAAGTGCTCAATACACTAAGTTGAGCAAAATTATTAGGATTTATTATATATATATATATATATATATGAATGATAAAATAAAGATGAACAAATAGGA